CTGAATTCCATCTTTTCTCCATCTCTGCTTATTCCTCTATAGCTCCAACTTCCACTGTGTCCCCTACTCCATCCATTGTCACCAGCAGGGCCTTGAATTGGCTCAGTGAATTACCGTTCATATGAAGCACCTTTCCTGGGCAGACTCCCCATGCTGGGTTACCTCACTGGTTACTGGTCTCAAGTCCAGTCTTTAAATGACCATCTTAGGATGAATTCTTAGTTTCTGCACCATGTATAAGCAAAGGTGACAAGGTCACAAGACACAAAGTGCACAGTGTGATCCCTTCCTCAAACTGTAGCTGAGGGTTTGGCAGGAGCCTGGAATCGGCTGGAGTCCTCTTCAAGTCAATCATTTCAAACCAACATGTAGGAACATGTGATCTGAGCAAGAGATCATTCTTTGATCTGTAGGTTGTTTATTTTTAAAGTCTCACAAAATAATCAAAAGCAGAAGCACATGTTGCCACACACTTTCAACATAATCAATTTCTACAAAATCAGAATGGGTCCCAGAACATCTAGGGCATGGGATGACTTCTAGTACAAAAGAAAAAACAAGGGAAGCAAGAGAGCTGAGTTCTAGAGCTGTTTGCTCTGTGACCACGAGCAAATACCCTGACACTATGCAAAGCCTCAGTTTCCTCATCTGCAGTCAGCCTTAAAGTCATGTGGTTCTGAGGCTCTGTCTTGGTCAATGAGAAAGTCCCTAGACTTGACCCCTTCTCAATGAGCATAGCCAGAATTCAATCCCACATTTCAATCAGCACAGGGAAGTCCAATTCTGAGTTATCTAGTGGCCCAGATGATCCCTAAAGGATAGTTTCCAACTCCACAAACTAAATGTCATGGAATAATTTCTATCTAGAAATCCTCCAAGAGCTAAGAGGCTGATGGGGAATACCCTTGCCACCCAGATCATCCCAGGAGCCAACCACAACTCAGATTCTCCAGTCCCTAATGGATCCTTTTCTGGACTAGTAGGACTCAGAGCTGGTCAGGTACTAGACACAGGGGGGTGCTTTTGGAGGCCCAACATCTGCCCCTTCCCTCAGCACTCCTCCCACTCCCCAGGAAGGCACCAAGTCCTGGCAGGAAACTGGCCCGGCAGCTTCCAAGCTGTTTGTCCAGCTGTCCTTGCATCCCCAGGCCACTGAGCTCTTATGTACTTTGGCCTAGAGAATGCTGTCAAACATCTGGACACCTACAGCGTCCCAGCTCAGAACCAACACTGGGTGGGAGGAGGGAGGCAGACGTGAGCCGCATCCCTCTCTGGGTCTCCTCTATTCCGTTCTATATGCTCAACACCACATGATCTCCATAACTTGAATAGCTGAGCAGTCTACACCTCTAAAATAGCAGAGAAGAGCCATAGCTTTGAAGTTAGACAGAATAGGTTTGAACGAGCCAATAGTCTAAGACTTCATGGACCCCAGGGCCTCAGTGAACAATAAACACCCTTCTAACTTAACACACAAAAATGTTGTTTGGGCAAATTGCACAATGATAACAGGGCATCTTGACTTCTAACACGATTGCTTCCCCTCTGAACAGCAAGAGTAGGATAATAAATATTCCTTCCCCTAAACTACCAACTGTTCCGCAGGAGAAAGATGAGGGTTTCTGCTCCCATAAAGATTTACAGCCTCAGAAACCCTCTACAGGTTCGTTATGAGTCGGAACCGACTCCACGGCACATAACAACAACAACAACAACCATGGCCATTTAAGGAGCTCTGGTAATGTAGTGGTTACAAATCGGGCTGTTAATCTCATGGTTAGCAGTTCGAAACTACCAGCTGCTCCGTGGGAGAAAAATTAGGCTTTCTGCTCCTGTAAAGATTTACAGCCTTAGAAACCCTATATAGGGTCAATATGAGTTGGAACCGACTCCATGGCACATAACAACAACAACCATGGCCATTTGGAGTCCTGGTGTGGCACTGTGGGTTAATGTGCCAGACTGCAAGGCCATTTGAACTACAAGGTAAGCAGTTCAAGCTCACCAGCTGCTCCTCAGAAACCCTATAAAGGGTCGCTATGGGTCAGAATCAATCCCACGGCACTGAACAACAACAACAATGGCCATTTGCTTACCAAATGTGTACAGTGCCTGGAGTACCTCCTATAAAACTATCAAACTGTACGTACTCATGTGTCCAAGCATCTACCTATTATGTGGAAGGACAGTCAACAGAAGCCAGGTTACAGAGAGAGACAGCCACAGACCCAATAGGAAACACACCATCCAGGTCTAAGAGAAGTCTAGCAGGGTAAACCAGGCCCAACAATCAAGTTAGAGTGTGCTGGAGAGGCATGCTGGATGAGGTGCAGGGCAGGCCAGGTCATATCCTGGTAAAAGTGGCTGAGTGGTGTGAGCAGCAAGGAGAGAGAACTGCCGAACTTTGGAGTTCTAAAGTAGAGCAAGGAGAGCTCCCTCCCTCACCTTGCAAAAACTTTTCCTCACTCAATTGAGAACATTGTGGTTCTCAGCAATATTTTGATAGGAATCATTTGTATGATGGGAATTTCCATAGCCAGGCAGATATGAGAACTGGTCACAACACCAAATAAATCTGAGACATCTTCTAGAGCAGGATATTTCAGTGTCTACAACTGATATCTTAGGACCGGATCATACTTTGTTGTAGGAGCTGCCTAATGTATCAAAGGACAGTTCGTAGCATCTTTAATCTCAATCTTGAGATTCCAGTAACAAACGCCCTTCCTCCCTGCACCACGTTGTGACAACCAGAAATATCTCCAGATATTGGCAAATGTCCCTTAGGGTACCAAATCATTTCCAGTGGAGAACCACTGCTTTAAAGTAAGATGTGTTTAGACATCTTTCCAATATAAAATTCATTCAGTGTGATTTGCCAGAAATAAATAGTAAGGATAGCACATACTCACTAAATATTGGAGCAAGAACTACTTTAAGTTGTTTATATTTAACCCTCCAACAACCCAATGAGGTGGTGGGTGGTATTGGTGGTGGGCTATAGTGTTGGTTCCAACTCACAGCGACCCAACTATTATCTCCATCTTGCAAACAAGATCACTGAGGTGGAAAGTTATTTAGAAACATGCCCATGGTTACAAAACCAGTAAGCGTGGCTCGATTATTAGTATCCATGTGGGCTGGCTCTAGAGTTCATGTTAAACCCTATACAGGGTCGCTATGAGTCAGAACTGACTATGAGTCAACAGCATTTAACAATGCAACAACAACAAAACATGAGAAGTTGTGACCTGCATTCTTAGCATCTCATCCATGTCCCAACCAATCAGAGCCTATGGAAACCCATCTCATCTAGAGCTCTATGCTGCCCTGGACCAGACTCAGGAACTAAACCGTTGGAGGAATTAAAGTAATTGTCCTAGAATTGGGCTAAAAATATAGTAAGTTCATGCTCATCACAAAAATAAAACTATGAAGAGAGACAACATGGCAGTGGGAGACTTTTTTTTAGGTTGGGTCATCAAGAAGGTGAAAGCTGAGACACTGGGCGATTCAACCTCCATCACATATGGTGATGAGTTGAGTTCTGCTTCTTTGAGAGCAGTTTCTAATCAACATTTCTTCCAATTGTACACAGCCGGGATCCTGTAAAACACGAGCTCACTCAAGAAGACCAAAGTCTAAAGTTGCCAAATTTAGCAAATAAAAATACAGGAGACCCTGTTAACGTTAGATTTTATATCAGTAAGTAATTTCTTAGTATAAATAAGTCCCTAAGATTGCATATGGTATGACGCTGCAGGTTAATGCACTGGACTGCAAGGTCAGTTTAAACTGCAAAGTCGGCGGTTCGAGCTTACCAGCTGCTCCTTATAAACCCTATACAGGGTCGCTGTGAGTCGGAACCTACTCAGTGGCACTTAACAACAACAATATTGCATGGAGTCCTGGTGTGGGGCTATCAGATAAGCACTGGAGTGCTAACTAACTACAGGGTTGGCTGTTCAAACCCACCAGTCACTCCTCAGAAACCCTCTGCAGGGTCACTGTGAGTCAGAACTGACTTGAATGCACTTAGCCACAACAGCAATATTGCATGGGGGCCGGGGGCAGTAGTGGGTCAGCAGTAGACGTCTGACCTGCCGTGCAGAAGGCCGATTCGCTTCATGTGCAGCTGTTGCCCATTTGTACTGGAGGCATGTGTGTTGCAATGACGCAGAGCGGTGTTCAGGGGTGCTTCCAAGCTAACGTGAACTAGCAAGAAAGACCTGGAGATATACTTCCAAAAATCAGCCAATGAAAACCCTGTGGATCACAAGAGACCCCTCGTGGGGATGGAACGGGCCAAGTTGTGCCTGGGTTTGATTCCGCAGCAGCAATGTTATTGCAACGGGCCTCTCTTTGCTGTCACGTCGATTCTGTCTCATAGCAACACTTTTGTTGTTGTTGTTGTTGTTATGTGCCGTGGAGTCGGTTCCAACTCATAGCGATCCTCTACAGGGTTTCCAAGGCTGTAAATCTTTACACGGGGAGCAGAAAGCCTCATCTTTCTCCCGCGGAACAGCTGGTAGTTTCGAACTGCTGACCTTGCGGTTCACAGTCCGATTCGTAACCACTACGCTACCAGAGCTCCACTACTTACACTAAAATGAAATGTATGGGTTTGAAATTCTAGTTTACCAGGCTATGCTACATTGTATCTGGCAACCTTACCCAAAGACAGTGCTTAGATGCTGTCTACCAGAAGGGCAGAAATCCCTCAAGAAGCCACCATACTTCCCAGAGTCTGATCTCCAGATGAAGAGGGGAAACAAGTCCCACTCTGCCCCTCCGGCCCTCAGATGTCCAGATGGGTCTTTCCAGTTCATTCCTTCAGCCACCCCTACTCTAAGTCCACCCTCTCCTGCCCTTTATACCTACTTGGAGAAATTTCACAGGGTACTAGCAGGGTTAATCCTTCTGGTACCAAGTCACAGTTTAACTCCTCCAAACCAAGGATTCAACACTGCCCGTGCAGGGGTCGGGCCCATATAGACCCTGAAAGCTAAGCAGCCACACACACACAAAAAAAAGTGAGAAAAGGCTGCAAGGGAAAGGGAGGGCCTGAGTCCAGAGTGAGGGAGGGGAGGAGGGGCAGCCGGGCCAGGCTGCTGTCCCCCACAGAGCCAGCTCAGATTCTGCTCCGGGAGCAACTCAGCTGCGGAGGCCACAGCAGCCCCTTTCCTCAGACTAAGGACAGCAGGCAGACAGACACACAGACAGAGATCTGGGACTGGAAGTCCTCGACCCCCAGCAGCTTGGCTGGGCCTGGTCCCATGGCCTTCAATGACCTCCTGCAGCAGGTGGGGGGCGTCGGCCGGTTCCAATGGATCCAGCTCACCCTGGTGGTCCTTCCCCTGATCCTGATGGCCTCCCACAACACCCTGCAGAACTTCACTGCTGCCATCCCCACCCACCACTGCCGCCCACCTGCCAACGCCAACCTCAGCAAGGATGGGGGGCTAAAGGCCTGGTTGCCCCGGAACAAGCAAGGGCAGCCTGAGTCTTGCCTCCGCTTCACTTCCCAGCAGTGGGGATCAACTTCTGCCAACGGCACAGAGATCAACTCCACAGGGGCCACAGAGCCCTGCATCGATGGCTGGATCTACGACAATAGCACCTTCCCCTCCACCATCGTGACTGAGGTGAGGAGCTGGGGCCCCCATTCTGCGTGCACCGTGCAGGTTCTGCCTTCCCCTCAGACACACATAGAGAGTCTCAAGCTCTCCAGAGGCCCAAACAGGAAGAAGGAGAATGAGATTCAAAACGGGACTCGTTGTAGAAAAGGTATTCACTGACAAGTCCAAAAAAAAAGTGCTCTCAGCTCGCAGGACTCAGAGGGAAACGTGCCACAGCCCCTAGAAGGCGAGTGTGGAAGGAGAGGAAGAGGTTCCCCTGAAGCCCAGGCTCATCTCTGCCCCTCTTCCCACAGTGGGACCTCGTGTGCACTCACAGAGCCTTTCGTCAGTTGGGTCAGTCCTTGTACATGGTGGGGGTGCTGCTCGGAGCCATGGTGTTTGGGTACCTGGCAGACAGGTCAGTCCTGGGAAAAGCCAAGGGATCGGGCGAGGGTTGGAGGCTTCTTGGCTGGGCACAAGGGGCCTGTGTGGGAGGCTGATGTTCCCATCTGGGGCTGGTTTGAGGACTTACAGCCCCAGCCTCACAGTGCAGGACCTTCCTGTTGAGTTGATTTTGACTTACGGCAACTCTAAGTGTTTCAGAGTAGCACTCTGGGTTTTCAGTGGCTGATTTCCTGAAGTAGACCAGTTGGTCTTTCTTCTGAGTTACCTCTGGGTGGATTTGAATTGTCAGCCCTTTGGTTAGTAGCCCAGCACCACACAGGGATCCTAACAGGAACCTTCACAGATCCTCAAAAGGACCCCATCCCTGGAATGACCAGGGTAGGTAGAACTGTGGGTACCATCTGCTCCTGGAGTTTTCCATCATTTTTGCAACAATGAGAAAAAAACACAGTACGTTTAACAGATTGAAGCTGAACGACTCTGAAGGAAACAACACACTGGTCCATATTGCCAGCTCAGTCTCTGACTGACCTAACACACACACACACTCACTCAAACACAGAACCCACAGAGTGAATACCTCGGCTCTGGCCAACCCAGGCATCCTGCAGAGGTGAACAGGAAGGAGTTGTGCAGGCTGAAGCAGGGCATCGAATCCCGCCTCTGCCACTCACAGACTGTGTGGCCTTGGACAAGTCACTCCATTCCTCTTTCAAAAGAGATAAGAGTCTATTCACAGTGTGTGGGGACATACCTCGTGCACCCCACACACAGAAGAGATAGGTCTTCCCTCAACCCTCCCACCACCTGGTCAGTCACCCAGAGCTGCGTGGTTCATGCCTGGAAGGACTAGCTGCTGGGTGACAAGTCCCCCAGTGTCAGATACTTCAGTAATGGCCCCCAAGTCCTCACCCAGGGCAAGTACGCCTCACTCTGCCTTATTTGCCCCGTTCCTGATACCCCCTCCCATCAGTTCCTCAAGTCTTCCCTCCCCCACAGGCTGGGCCGACGCAAGATTCTGATCTTAAACTACCTGCAGACAGCCGTGTCAGGGACCTGTGCAGCCTTCGCACCCAACTTCCCAACTTACTGCACCTTCAGGCTTCTCTCGGGCATGTCGCTGGCTAGTATTGCCATCAACTGCATGACGCTGAGTAAGGGATGCCAGGAGGGCATCACAGGGGTCCTCCCCAATCCCCTCTGACCACCAAGTCCAACAGCTCCTTCCCTGCCTCCTCTCCCAGGCCCACCTCTCCTGGACCCTTCCAGGCAGCACGACACCCTTCTCTGGTTCATATCACCCTGGCCCCCCATTTAGACATGAGGTTGTAAACTCCATTGCTGAGGTCAGGCATGGAATGACTGACACGTGCTAGAGGCATTAGGGAATGGTGGGGACTGTGTCTAAAAGGGAGACCTGGGAGCCACAGCCTTGCTGCTGTCCCAACCAGGAGGTCCCATGACTCTTTTTCAAGGTAAAACCTCCCCTTCTTAATGTTTGCAAGTAACTCTAATATACAGTAAGCCAGCATCATGGAGACCAAATACATTTCTAGACTGTCCGCTGGCCATCAGTGTGATGTTCTGAAAGACCATCTTTCCTGTTCCTCAGACAAGGAGGAGGGTAGAGATTTATCCAGGGCCACTTCTCAAGTCCAAAAAGGACCCCAAGGATTCTAGATTCCGTGAGACAGGGCAGGACTTATAAGAAATCCAACCCCAATGTCCAGTTGCGTTTCCAAGCCCCTCCCCTAGAGTCAAATCAAGATCCCACATGGAACTGACCTTGCCTTCCACAGACAATGGAGAGCTAGTCCCATCTCACCACAACTCTCCAGGATGGTGAGAAGCCATCATCTCCATTTGAGCTGCTCTGGCCACTGAAGCCTGAGGAGGAACAGAGGGGCTTCAGTGACCAGGAATGCTCAGAAGGGAGGTGGATCTAGCCAGGTAGTTGGGCGGAATGAAAAACATCAGGGTGTGAAGAGGCCAGTTCCTGAGGAGTCTAAACCCACCTGTCCATCCATACCTCCACCAAAGGTCCCCATCCGCCTACCTGACATGCAACCTGTGACCAAATCGCGCTTGAGGCACCTTCTGCAGAGCCTGGACACAGATAAGGGTTTGGTTGAAGGGAAGAGGGTCTTTGCCTGCCTGCTCCAGGGATCTTCATCCACCTGGCAACCTGTTCGAATCCTCTTTCTAGACATGGAGTGGATGCCTATCCACACCCGAGCCTGTGTGGGCACCCTGGTTGGCTACGTCTACAGCTTGGGCCAGTTCCTCCTAGCTGCCATGGCCTATGCTGTACCGCACTGGCGTCACCTGCAGCTGCTCGTCTCTGTGCCTTTCTTCGCCTTCTTCATCTACTCCTGGTGAGTGTGCGGCGGTGCTACAAAGGACAGGGCATTTCCCCAAGCACATCACACACCCGACCCCACAGAATAGGAAGTCAAAGCCAGAGGGTCAAGGATGTCTAAAGCCAGGCCGAGGATTTCCTCTACTCCAGTTTCCCCCAGCCCCCTGTCATTCTGTACTACTCCCCCTGCCTAACACCCAAGCTGAGTTCTGGCTGAGGGAATGAGTCCACACCATGCCGGGCATTCTCCTGTGGTACTAAACAGAGAGAGTTGGCAAAGACTCGGGACTCCCAACCATAAATAAAATCCCATTAACGGCCCCTGGAAAGCCCACCCCTCACCCCTGTCCCCAGCCCAGCAGGCTAGAACTGAGGCCATGCCAACAGCCACCTGCCTCCTGTTACCAGGTTCTTCATTGAATCCGCTCGCTGGTACTCCTCCTCTGGGAGACTGGACCTCACCCTGAAGGCCTTACAGAAGGTGGCCCGGATCAACGGGAAGCAGGAAGAGGGGGCCAAGCTGAACATAGAGGTGAGACCCCACCAGGGCCCCACCTTCCCTCACCCACCCCAATCCCTGAACTCAGGACTCAGGAGGCTTCCCTGAGCAGAGTTGGACTGGGAAGGGCCTCTAGAAGGGCCCAGGCCCTGAGCCCCGCTTATGTCGGCAGGTGCTCAAGGCCAGTCTACAGAAGGAGCTGACCATAGGCAAAGGCCAGGCCTCGGCCCTGGAGCTGCTGCGCTGCCCCACCCTTCGCCACCTCTTCCTCTGCCTCACTATGTTGTGGTAGGTCCGGACACACAGACTGGTAGACAGTGAGACAGAAAGACCAAGAGGTCAAAAGGCCAGGATGGAAGGAGCTAATACAGTGGGTGGAAGGGACCAAACAGTAAAAAGATGAATTCATAGGGTGAGGATGGCCCGGGACTGAGCAGTGTTTCATTCCGCTGTGCGTAGGGTAGCTATGAGTCGGAACCAACTTGAGGGCACCTAATAACAAAATCAATAATCCCCCACCAGGCAGAGTCCTGAAGAATCAGACCCCTCCAGCCTTGCTCAGTCCCAGACTCCAAATAGAGCACTCATCTCTCCTTCTCCCTTCACTGACTCTTTTTCAATACAGAAACACCTCATCTCAAATGATCCCTCAGAGCCAACAGAATCACATCTTAAAGGCAAAAACCAACCTGGTTTACAAAACATTTAGAGACTGTTCTGGCCTCTGGGTACCTGCGAGACACATTGGCATGGACAGTAAGATACTATGGTCCATCAAGAATGCTTAGAGCCAGGCTGACACTCCTTTCCTCTGGCCACATTCCCCTTATATGCTACCTTCCCTCCCGTCACCATAGCAACCTCTACCCCACACCTGTAGAACAATCAGAAAAAAAAAAAAAATCTTGCCAAATCTTCAAATTTAAGGGGATCATCCTTAGTTGTAGGTTCTAGCCAGTGACATAAGTTTCCTTTTGTGATCCCTTGACATCTTAAATAGGTACAGTACTCATCCCTGGGACACAGGTAAGACCTACATAACTCCAGCCTCTTCCAATACCTAAGTCCTAAAGACATAGCTTTAGACCTGGCCACCTTTCTTAGGCCCACATCAAAAAATAAGATTAAGATGAAAAGGAGGTAAATCTACAGAAAAACTAAATGCAAAATTCCTAATCTGCCAGGGCCACTATTGTTAGAGACTGGGAAATGTGGGGCATAAGATTGCTCCCATCGTTAAGTTAGATTCTAAAAATCTGAAGAAATATTAACCCAGGACAAGTCCAGCTCCTTAAACAGGATACCCAGTGAAGTTCACCCCTATTCTGAATGACCACCCCTCTTTTTTGTTGTTGCTAAGTGTCATCAAGTCAGTTTTGACTCACAGCAACCCCATATATAGGGTTTCTGAGGCTTTGATGATCTTTCCGGGAGCAAAAAGCCTCATCTTTCTCCCGCAGAGTGGTTGACAGGCTCAAACCGGGGACCTTGTGGTTCACAGTCCAGCACATGTAAGCCTGCCTAACACCTCCACTCTTCACCCTCTCCACTAGGTTTGCCACTAGTTTTGCCTATTATGGGCTGGTCATGGACCTGCAGGGTTTTGGGGTCAGCATCTACCTAATCCAGGTGATCTTTGGTGCCGTGGACCTGCCTGCCAAGCTTGTGGCCTTCCTTGTCATCAACTCCCTGGGCCGCCGACCTGCCCAGATGGCCTCACTGCTGCTGGCGGGCATCTGCATCCTGGTCAATGGGGTGATACCTCGGGGTGAGCACCCATGACTACCTTGGATCCTCCTTCATCCTGGGCTTCATCCCCAGACATGGCCCAACTTTTCACACAGGAAAGGAAGCCAATTCCTCCCAGCCCATACTCCCAACCAAGTTCCCTCTGTCCCCACTTCCTTCTCTCTAGAGCAGTCCATTGTTCGAACCTCCCTTGCTGTGCTGGGGAAGGGCTGCCTGGCTGCCTCCTTCAACTGCATCTTCCTATACACCGGGGAGTTGTATCCCACAGTGATCCGGTAAGTGGGAACCTGGCAGGGCAAGATGGTTGGTATCTAGGTGCAAGACATTCCCTTACACATGGGTGAAAACCTAGACCCCTTCCCAACACTCATCCGAGCAAACCGTATCCAAGGCATTCAATACACAGTTTCTGATGACTGCCTAGATAATGCAGGTAAGGTTGCTTTCCCAACCCTTACCTGAGCCTAGAAGAAGGTCTCCAAGGAAGCCACCAATTGGAAACCCAGGTGACACACCCCAGGAACAGTGAATCGAAGGCCCCCACTCAACCTCCATCAAATCTAAATTCCATTTATAAAGCAAGCGGTACATCTGAAACCAAAGACCACAAACATGAAAGTCATTTCCGATCATGGGAACCACACTTTTCAATAACGGTACATGAATATGTCGGGAGATCGGATAAATATAGCGCTGTTCTTCCAAGCGCCAAGATGGGGTGGGCGTATTTTTACATTAAGAAACAAAAGTCACATGTCAGTTTTAAGAATGGGATACAAAATTCACATGAGCTTTTTAGAAAAAATGTAAGATGTTAAAGAAATATCAAGCTTTCCTAGACTACTTGGCTAAGACCCCTAAGGGGGCCTGGCTACTGACCTTTGACCCTATGGGATTTCAGGGGAAGAATATAGTATAAAGCTCAATATGTTCACAATTTAAACTTTTTATAGTCAAATATTTCATCCTTCTAGCAAGCCTATGAGACAGGTGTGGTTATCATTCCCATTTTACAACCTGAAAACAAAAAACTAAGGCACAGAGAGATTAAGTGACTTACCCAAAGTCACACAGATAGTGAGTTATAAAACCAGGATTTGAACCCAAGTAACTTGTCTCCTGAGGCAATGCTTTTAAGCATTGTTCTCACAAAGCATGAACTTAACATGCAGATTCCAAATTCCTTCCCTTGCACATTCTAATCCAATAGGTCTGTGGGGTAACTGTAACCATAACAAGTCAGGTGATACAAAACCCACTGATCTAATCCAACTGCCTCATTTGACTGAGGCTCAGAGAGGAAAAGCCATTTTTCCAAGGTCACACAGCAAACTGGAGGCAAAGATAAAATTCAATCTCAAACTTCCCAATTTCATGGCCAGGACCCTTCCCAACTTCCCTTTTTAAAAATTGCCCAAACAAAAGCCAAGTTGGTTTGCCAATCAAATGGGAAATAGAAGGGCAATTGGCGGGGCTCGGGGGCTCAGGCTGGACTTGAACTGTCTCCTGGCTCCAGGTGTGGTCAGCACCTCCGCACTCTTACCAGAACTGTGGTCCTCACAGGCAGATGGGCTTGGGCATGGGCAGCACTATGGCCCGAGTGGGAAGCATTGTGAGTCCGCTGGTGAGCATGACGGCCGAGCTCTACCCCTCCATACCTCTCTTCATCTACGGCGCAGTCCCTGTTGTTGCAAGTGCTGCCACTGCTCTCCTGCCAGAGACGCTGGGCCAGCCACTACCCGACACGGTGCTGGACCTGGACAACAGGTTGGCCACACCCTCCCCACCCGAGATCAGCCCTCAGAGCCACAAGGAGCCCATAGCCTCTTGGTCTAGCCTCCTTTTTGTCAGATAAGAAGGCCCTGAAAGGAGCAGAGGCGTACCCCAGGTCACGCACCCAGACTGGGGTAGTGTTGAGACTCAAACCCAGGCCTTTCGGCTTCCCTAGCTGGCTAAGTCTCCTCCAGTCCTTCCTGGGACTCCCAGGGTGGGGAGTAGTAGATGTGAGGGCAGAGAGCGGGTGGCCGACACACCCAGGGCACCACTCCTTTGCCCCCAGGAGGAGACGGAAGCCGAGAAGACATCAACAGGAGCAGCAGAAGCAAATGGTCCCGCTCCAGGCCTCTGCGTGACAGAAGAGGGACTCTGGAGACTGAGAAGGGGCTCCCATGTCATCCAGACAAGGAGTGGGGAGGGAGGGTGGCAGCCCAAGCGTGGGGGCTGTGGTTCGGGGAAATACTTCCTCCAAGTTCCCCCTCCCCAAAGAGACCCCACCAAGACCACATTATTAAAGTCTGACTACGTGCAGCATACGGTGTCTCCTTTGTTTCCAATGGCACTCCCACGTCATGCCAACCAGCTTCAGCCCAAGACAACAGGCAGCCCTGCCCCCACCAGGACTTTACCATCCCCAAGAACTGGAAAAGCCCCTTCCCCCATCATTCCTTCCTCCCTCCTCCTCTGAGACATTCAAATAAAACCAAAAGACAAATTAGCTGCCAATTCCAACTCAATTTCAACTCAAGACAAGCCCATGTATGTATGTCTGAGTAGAACTGCTCTCTCCAGGTTTTCCATAGCAACCCTGTATAGGGTTTCCTAAGCTTCAGATCTTCATGGGAGCAGAAAGCCTGAGCTTTCTCCCGCGGAGCAGCTGGCAGGCTCAAACTGAGGTTCGCAGTCCAATGCTTATCGTATGGAGACACCTCGCTCCCCTTCTGATTGATAACACACACAAAAAAAAAAAAAACCCTAAACCCACTGCCATGGAGTCAATTTCAACTCATAGTGATTGTATTGGACAGAGTAGAAGAGCCCTATAGGGTTTCCAAAGCTGTCGTGGTGGTGACTATGTGCCGTGGAGTCAGAACTGACTCATAGCGACCCTGTACAGGGTTTCTGAGGCTACAAATCTTTAAGGGAGCAAAAGGCCTCATCTTTCTCCCGTGGAACAGCTGGTGGTTTTGAACTGCTGACCTTGAGGTTCACAGCCCGATTCATTACCACTACACTACCAGAGTTCCTTTCCAAAGCTGTAGATCTTTACAAAAACAGGCTGCGACATCTTTTTCACAGGGGCAGCTGGTGGGTTAGTATCCAAGCACTTTAACCACTGCTCCAACTGGGTTCCTTTAATAGCCCATGTTGTTGTTGTTGTTGTTGTTGTTGTTACTTGCAGTTGACTCAGTTCCGGCTCATAGCACTAAAGAACGACACACTGCCCAGTCCTGTGCCATCCTCACAATTGTTGCTATGCTTGAGTCCATTGCTGCTGCCGCTATGCCAATCTATGTCCTTGGGGCTTTCCCTCATTTTTGGTGGCCCTTCACTTCACCAAGCATAATGTCCTTCACCAGGGACTGAATGACAACATAGCTGAAGCATGAGGGACAAAAGCTGGCCATCCTTCCTTCTAAGAAGCATTCTGACTGTACTTCTTCCAGAACAGATTTGTTTGTTTTCTGTCAGTCCACAAGTGCTCAAACACCATAACTCAAATGCATCAATTCTTCTATAGTTTTCCTTATTCATTGTCCAACTTTCACACGTTATGAGGCAATTGAAAATACAATGGTTTGGGTCAGCCGCACCTTAATCCAGTCCTCTAACTGACGTCTTTGCTCTTAAACACTTTAAAAAGAGGTCTTGTACAGCAGATTTGCTTACTGCAATACATCGTTTGATTTCTTGACTGCTGCTTCCATGAGTGTTGATGGTGGACCCAAGCAAAATGAAATTTTTGACAAATTCAATCTTTTCTCAATTTATCATGATGCTATTTATTGGTCCAGTGGTGAGGATTTTGGTTTTCTTTTGCATTGAGGTGCAATTCGTACCAAAGGCTGTCGACTTTGATCTTCATCAGTATTTTAAGTCTTCTTCCCCTTTCCAGGTTGCATCATTTGCATACTGCAGGTTGTTAATGAGCTTTCCTCCAATCCTGATGCCACACTTTTCTTCATATAATCTAGCTTCTCAGATTACTTGTTCGGCATACGTATTCAAACTGAATAAGTATGGTGAAAGAATACGTCCCTGGCATATGTCTTTGCTGACTTTAGATCATTCAGTGTTCCCTTGTTCTGTGTAAACAACTGCCTCTTGGTCTATGTTGTTGTCAGGTGCCATCGAGTCGGAACCGACTCATAGCGACCCCATGCACAGCAGAATGAAACAATGTCCAATCCTGAGCCAAACTCACTACCACCGCCACACTCGATGCCATCAATGATGCCACCTGGCTGATCCATCTCGTTGGGACTCTTCCTCTTCTTCTCTGACCCTCCATCTTACCCAGCATGACATCCTTCTCCAGCGACTGGTCCCTCCTGACAATATGTCCAAAGTAGGAGAGACGAAGCTGAGCCATCCTGGCCTCCAAGGAGCACTCTGGCTGCACTTCTTCCAAAACAGATCTATTGGTTCTTTTGGCAGTCCATGGCACTTTCAGTATTCTCCTCCAACACCACAACTCAAAGGCATCAATTCTTCTACCATCTTCCTTATTCACTGTCCAGCTTTCACATCCATATGAGGTTATTGAAAATACCATGGCTTGGGTCAGGTGCACCCCCCGCTCCCTAATGAAATGGATTGGCACAGTGGCAGCAGTAATGGGCTCAATGATTATGAGGTTGGTGCAGGACCAGGGAGTGTTTCATTCTGTTGTGCATGGGGTCGCTATGAGTAGGTACTGACTCGATGGTACCTAACAACAATCCTATGGAGGTAAGTACTAGATTACTATTTTACAGATAAGGAGGCCAAGACCCATAAGGGTTAAATAACTTTTCTAATTCACAGGTGGTAAATTGTGGAGCCAGTAATGGGATCCAGATCATTTGGCCCCAGAATATGTGTACTTGACCCCTCTATTGCTCAGCAACTGTGAGGCACTGAGACTTTGGCCTCTTCTACCCCCAGGGTCCAGCTTCTTCTTCTCCTCCTCCCTCTAGGGGAAAATGAGAAAGGGAAGGAAAAGGGACTAAAGGTGAAACTCATGAAAAGGGGGGTGGAAGACAGTTTTGTGGTTGCAGTTGGGAAAGGAATGGGATGTCTAGTCGCCTGTGCCAGGGAAGCCTGAAGTGGCATGAGACCAGACAGCCCCATTAGAGCCTACAGCTTGTAAGAGTGAGGGGGCCAGCCATGCCCTACATGTGCCATGTACTTGCTCAGTCAGGCTTGGCTGCCCATTGCCCTATCCTCTGCATGTGACCCTGCCCTTCAGCCCTTCAGCCCCTGGGAAAAGTCCACATCCCTCAAGTTGCCCACACTGCCTTTCCAAGCTGAGTCAGGGCAAGCTAGCCAGGCTGGTGGCCCAGGACATCCAGAAGACCCTGGGAGAGCTCACAGCAGCTCAGACAGTAGGTCTCTAGTTCCCAAGACACATCTTGGCAGAGCTGAAATCACCATGCCCACACCACCTCCTGGAACATCTAGAGCCCTGGTGCCCCCAATCCTGGTGCCCCCAATGGTGCTGACACTCCCCACCACACACACCAAGGATTTCTTGGCCATCACAGGACCCACTCGATTCCCAAGAGCCACCAGCAGTGCTTCAAACAGCACTGCTCTGATGACTGACGTCAGGAACCTGGGTTGGCATCTTAACCACCTGGAGCAGGGAGACAAGACGAGGACTGAGAGACAGAACAGGAGGTTCTAGTCCTGCTTCTGCTGATTTGGGGATCTTGAGGCAAGTCGCATCCCCTACCCCTGCCTGCTGTTGTTGTTGTTAAGTGCTGTCTCGTCAGTTCCAACTCATACACCTTGTGTAGGGTTTCCAAGAAGCGACTGGTAAGTTTGAACTGCTGACCTTGTGGTTCAAACAGCACCATACCAGAAGTTCAAAGGGAGCATTTAATAGATTCAAACTGTTGAACTTGAGGTTAGCAGCCCAATGCATAACGACCACACTACCAGGGCTCCTGCCTAGAGCTCTGCTGCGCTCTGATGACTCCTGGGATATTTCTGTTGGCTCTTTAGAGCCGATGCCCCAAATCATTCTGGCTCAGGGTGGTAGGACCTGGTATGGAGAGGGGGCCTCCACTCAGATTTCATGCTCACACCAGGCTGGGCCTCCCCAGCTGCCTTTAATACTTCCCTTTCTTGGTGAAGATGGCATCCAAGGTGCCCTATGTCAGCCATAAAGAAAATGCTGCCTGAGAAATTGTGGCAGGAGTGGGGTGGTGGCTCTTGGACAACTGATGGGTCTTATGATGGTCAAGAACACGGAGGCCATCTGTTCTAGCCCAGTAGTCAGAAACTTTAGTAGTTTCCTAAATTTGATCCAACTTCCCCTGCCCTTTAGACCCACTTGGGCAATACATGAGTCTATGGGTCTTCATAATTAATGATCTCATTCACAAGTCACAGTTTAACTTGGTTCCCTGTAAGAAGTTATAAAATCTCCTGCTGACAATCGGGGGGGCCTAGGAACCAATGAGCTGAGGGAACAGCCCAGCACAGTGCACCAAAAGACAGGCAACAGGTCATAAAGCAGAAAGCCTTAGTAGCCGCTGCTCTCGTAAGGCCTAACCCCATGCAAGGCCTTCAATGACCTCCTGCAGCAACTAGGGGGTGTTGGCTGCTTCCAGAAGATCCAGGTCATCCTGTCTACACTCCCCCACTCCTGATGTTTATGCATATTGTCCTGCAGAACTTCACTGCTGCCATCCCCACCCACCACTACCACCTACCTACCTGCCAATGCCAACCTCAGCAAGATATGGAGCTGGAGGCCTGGCTGCCCTGGAACAGGCAGGGGCAGCCTGAGTTTTGCCTCCACTTCACCTCCCAGCAGTGGTGACCAGCTTCTGCCAACGGCACAGAGACCAACTCCACACTGGCCACAGAGCCCTGCGTTGATGGCTGGGTCTACAACAACAGCACCTTCCCCTCCACCATCATGACTGAGGTGAGGAGCTGGAGACCCCACTTCTTCCCACCCCTGCACCTCCTCATCTTTTTATCCACACACAGAGATGAAGACTGAATGTGGGAAGACCCTGGGGCTATGAAGAGCTATGTCTAAAACACAGGTAAGGGAAAGACAGTTGGAGAAGATACGCAAATGCTTGCAGGAAGCTGTTCTTTGCTCCTCATCTCCCAAGAGAGAGAGGCGCACTGACTG